TGGGCCCACCACCTGCAGGAGGATCCGTAAGGGGCCGGTGCACAGTGGATTGGGCAGCAGTCAAAGGCAGGGGCCTCGACGACCCGATCTCTGGACACGGAGACTATCGGTCAGCTGTTTCTATTTCAGATTAAACTCTTGCACGGCATCCAGCGGGGCCGATCGCTGGCCTGGAGTCCTGCTCAGTCGTAGGCCATTCACCTGCCGCTCCAACATTACTGATTCAACCCAATGAAAAGAGTTAGTGAGCCACAACTGAACATTTGGTGTCACCTTATAATACTTTGTGTTTGAGATATACTTAGCATAGCAAGTAGTCATGTGAAGTTGTGTTTGAGCTGCAATGGGAGTTATAACATTTTGATATTGGATTGAAGTTTTTAAACCAAATCACTCAACCTCACCATAGAGATAATGACTGAAGAAAGAATAAGCATTTTAGTAAAGCAATAAAGGTTATTTGGTACAAAAATATGTATATATTGGGTGAAATGTTGCTTTAATGTCATGGCTATTTCTAGACATGCTATGTGCACTTTTGTGACAAGTCTTTGGCAAATGAATCAATCCTAGGAAAGAAACAGAAGCGATGACAGGAACAAACACTGGTGTTATGGCAATGCTGTGGACTGTCCGAGGCTACTGGCTGCCACAGTGTGTGACCGCACTCTGAAGTGTCTGATTGGGTTGTGTTTCTCGCTGACTTTTGGTGTGTGTGTATGCCTCAGGTGAATCAGCTTGGAGGTGGGTAGCTCCTCTCATCAGCTTATCCCTGCCTGGAAAATGTGTTTTAGACTGAAGCTGAATTGCAACAGCACTGTCATAAATAAATGACTTCATAATTTTAGCATGTCACGGAGGTAAAAATAGAATATCACGTTGTTAGCTCAAACACTGAATGAACCCTTTGTGAAGACATCAGAGTTAGTTCCTAGAAGATTTAACACTTTCTTGACAATGCTGGATTTGAAGGATGTAAAGAAGAATAAAAAATCTTTGCACATTGTTTCAAAGGTTTCACCATGGTGCTATTATAGCTGATATAAAAAAATCATTTTCCTTTGTGCAAATGAAAAAACTGGTGCACACACAAGTTTGTTCATGAGGAGCTGACCTTGTTTCCAAAAGACCTTTGCTAAGAAATGGGTCCTAGTGTCTTTTTTCTCCCTGTGTGAGAGAAATGAAGGGAGGAAGTGTGACAATAAAAAGACAACAAAGTTCAGTTCCTCATCTTAAAATGTTAGTCCCAGGTCTTTTTTTTTTCTTGTGTCTCTTGTGTCGTGTTCAGACAAAAGCCTTTCTGGTGGTAATGTGTTACACAGACTCTCCTGGAGGCCTGCTGAGCTGCTGCACATGTAGTTTTAGTCACTTCTCACAGACATTTGTCATTTAACAACCAGGAAGTGCTAAGGAAGTTTCTGTCCTTGGTGTGCTGCAAGAACAAAGCACAATTTCAGATATCCATGGTTGAAACTGGCAACAAGTTGGGAGATCTGAACTGTTACCATCACCCACAGACTGTCACTGTAGTCAACACCAGCACTGCATTTTGCAACTGTGTCTGATATAAAACACCAATCTAACAATGGCTCTAGGCAATAGTACAGTGTTTGGAAAAGAGGACAACATTTGGCATCACATGCTTGGCCTAACTCGCTCTCTCCGACACAGTGACAGGAGCTGCTGCCTCTAGCCTTACTCCACATGTAGGCTACTTCACTCTAATGGTGTGATGATGCAGATCTTGCTGGAATCCAGGCTACAGTGAAGTTTCTATATCTACTGAATGTCAGGTCTTGTCTAATCATCAGAAAAGAGCCTGTTGTGTGGGGCACAACCCCAGGTTTAATTTAGGATGAGATATTTAACACTCTCTCTCACACACAGAGAGATTAACGCGACATGCGCACACATTCCATGCCACGCGTTTCATTTCATTATAGGTGACCCGGTTATGCAGGACTGGGATTCATATGTGTATGCACGCTGACACACAGACTACACAAGTGCACGCGCAGCCACAGAGTGGTGATTGTCTCCTTAGATCACCGTGGCAGCTCTATTGGCCCTTATAGTGCGGTGTGAGTGTATGGCAGGTATAACGGAACAGCCTTAAACTTACCGCAGTCCTCGCACAGCACTCTGTCCACATCCTTCTTCAGCTCCGGCTCGCTGGCGTCCACAGGAGCGTACGATGCTTTGAACACCAAGGGCTCGGCGGTCGGGTCCATGAAAAAGATATATCTGTGGTCCTTCTCCACCGTGGTACAGGGGGCCTCGGAACCGAAGTCCCCCACAGTCACGAGCTGCTCCCTCTCTAGGCCGCCGCTGTTGACGGGCCACACGTCCAGCACTTTGACATTCACACTGTAGGGCTCCCTGGAGGAGACGTTCTCCGGGGAGGAGCGCACCTCGCCCTCGATGACCACGGCTGATCTGTACGCCTGGTCCTGGAGGGAGTTGAGACTCGGGGCGTAACAGGCAAAGGAGACCCCGATGACCAGCATGGAGAAATGCACTGGATCAAGCCTCATGCCGTCAGCCTGTGCTGTGCTGCAGTGCTGCTGGGCGGCGGAGCGAGATGGAAGAGAGAGACGGTGGCGAACGGGCTCCGGCAGAGGAGGCAGGGCAGAGCGGCAGACCTTGTAGAAGTGTCCATGCCATCTGTGTCTGCCGCTGCTTTCCCCATACGGCTGGTGGCCTCGGATGGGGGGACACACCAGCCTAGGAACCGGAAACGGCCCGCTTCTGCATGCTTAGAAATGTCCCCCCCCCCCCCCCCCCCCTCTCTCTCTCTCCCCCTCACTCACTCTTGCTCTCTCTCTCTCTCTCCAGCTAATAGGCTAGCATCGCATGGGTGGGCACACTGCCACTCTGGAAGGAAAAAAGCAGCTTGCGCGTACAGGAGAATCACAACAAACGTTTGGCACACGCAGGGTCCTTTATCCACTTATTTCGATCGTCAAAACAGTCCTGCCCGTCCGAATCCGGTAGTCGGTAAGCAAAAGGAAAACGAAAACAGAAAGTAGAGGTAAGATGGACAGGATGAGATAGCAGCGGTTATCCGGTAAGGCGATGCAACAGTAGCGCGCACCCTCCAGCCGCGTCCCCTGCGCCCCTCATCCAACGCGGTCGCGCGCGCCGGCTCGCCGCGTCCTGCCCTAACCCCCTAATAACCCGGGCCCCCACCGGCACACCGCCACCGACTCAACTAGCATATGAACATGCCGGTCGACTGTCTTAAACCTCTGCGGGTGGGTGCAAAAGAAATCACGCAGACATTGCACAGACTCAGCACAGAGTGCGTCTCTAGCCAAACCCTGCACGGCACCCACTGTGGCTCTCCAGTGGAAGAGGTACAAGAGAGGCTATAGGCGAAAACTGCACACTGCGGATAGTTGTTGCGATGACTAACGCTGCGAAATTCTCTCAATGGATTCTTCAGAATGGCGAGATGAGAAGGGAGTTTCCAGACTTAAGGTCTGAAAGCCCTCAGACACAAATCCGCTCGCTGCACGCTACAGTAGAGCACACCCCAAACCTGACATTTTCCACACTGTGATGCGAGTCGTTGCAGTTCACTAATGTCGCCTTGGGACACAGTACTACAGTCTTAACTACTCTACGGCAACACGTGGATGCATCAGTTGCCCTAATCTGTGGTGTTATGCTGGAACGACATTCCAGCTAATTGTTTTGCCAACCCTGCTCAGCTACAGCTAATAAACCCACTTCTTTCATTGAATACATCTCGACCAATGAAACGAGAGCTTTGCACAACATGCTCAGGCTTTTTATGGTGACCACAAGTATCCCCTCCTCTCTCCACCAGCAAACCAGTCCCTGCCTCCATTTCTGTATCCATCAATCAAGTCATTCATAAGATTTGCCTTTGCCTCCCTGTCAGGAGCTCTGCGCCCTTCTTTAGAGGTCAGAAAGCCTTTCACTGTCCATCCCGAGTAAGGCCCATGTGGACATTTTTGCCATAGATGTCTGAGTTGATAAAGAAAATACATGAGAGGCCACTTCATCACACTGTGCACTTCAGTCATGGCCTCTTACGCCCCCTTCGCCATCAGCAGAGTCACATCAGGGGCCGGTCTCTGTCCGTGGTGCTGAAAAGCTTGACTGGTTTAGTGCTCTGTCCAAAGGGGCCAACCCCACCAGACCTCATATAGACTGAAGGCAAACAGCTGGACTGCTGTCTCCTCACTGCATATATCCTGTCTTATATTCACCTGAGAGTAAAAGACTCACTCTCTATTAAAGGGTAGTACTGTAAAAGCACAGTTTCAGTCCTGTGTGTTGTCCATGGTGCTAAATGCTATCAAACATGCAGCTCTTATCTTTTCCAGTGGCCCCACATTAAGAGGATTATTTCTCCAGTTCTCCATTTCTCCAGGGATCACTATTGCATTTCAAGAGGAAAATACAGCCCTTCAGAGTCTGTGATCCATGCAGGGATCCACCCCCACCTTAGTCCCTCTCCGCCCACTGCCCACCCTTCACCGATCTGTCTCTCTTTCATTCATTCAACCGCTCATGCATTCATTAGAGACCCCATTCAGAGACCTCATGAACAATTTAAGAATTTCCAGATTAGCTTTGAAAGCAAATCATTTGTTGACAAAGTGAAGGGAAGTCACTAACCCAGGCAGGACTGCCACCATTTGCCTCCCAATTCCTCTGTTACTAGTTGCTGAGCTTCTGGCAATTACTGGAGGGTTTACTTTTGGTCGTGCATCAGCCATTTGGGGTGTTGACGAGGTCACTTAGACCTCTCATTATACATTTTCTGTCCAATCTGTGCCACTGTCCAGGTAATGCTTTCTTTCTCTGGTATTAAAAATTGACACAGTAGCCCCTTGGGTTACTGTTGTCACACAGAATGTTTTTGTAAACCTGCCCTAGATTTCATCTATACCCTCATTTTCTACATCACCAGCAGTGCTCACAGGCAAACTCAAATTTCATCTGTTTTATCCACCATCTGATGTCTGTGGTTCTGGAAAAAAAACCCCACCAGTTACTTACCTGTTGATACAACATTTATCTTAGGCCTACCTTTCTATTCCAGGTTAACCCCTTCTTTCATGAAGTCATCAGTCAAATCAATGTTGGGACATTTAATTAAGGTGTATATGATGCTTGTGACTTTCAAAAAATGATTTATTTTTGTGAAAAACAATAAGTAAACAGTTAAAGCACATGGGTCTGTGTTGCTTTTGCACATCTGTGCTGTTGACATTAATAATATTCTGCAGCCCTCCAATCCCATTAAGCCGCTATCCTCTCAGTATCCATCAAGTCTCCTACACCATTCTTCTTCTTGAGGTCTGTCTCACCCCAACTTAACCTGTTGGTGCTCCTACTAAAAATGACCTTTAACAGAGGGACCCTGCTGAATTTCTAACTTATAAAAATCTGTTTACAGGCTACTCAAGTGATGTTAATCCATATAATGTCAGAAAATAATAATAAATGCTCAGAAGTTTCCCAGCAACCCCCCAAATATTTAATTTATAACTCTACACCACAGAAAAGCAGCAAACAACCATAAGAGGCTTTACCAAGCAAAACGTTTAGATTTTCTGTGACACAATACTAAAACAATTCACAGATTAACTCCAGTTTAGATGGTTCTCTATCTTATGGGCTTAACCCAAAATACCTGTATATTTGAACAACTACAACTCTTATTCAATTCTGACAAGTGTCCATGATGAGTTTTTTTTATTGTACAACTTTTTTGCCGATTTCCACTGATTAACCTTTTTAAGACATCCCACTGAGAAACAGTGACACTTGAGGAAGTCCAGTCACAGGGTTGTGGTTCATGATGCTTCACAGAGCATTAGCCTCCTCCCACAGACTCCCACGCAGCCATGAGCTGCTGTTCATTCAAACTTCTTTCCCCACGCTCTCTCTCTCTCTCTCTCTCTCTCTCTCTTTCTCTGTCTCTCTCTCTCTCTCTCTCCGTCTGACTCAGCGGGTTCGGTGTCCCTGGTGCTGAAACACCCCAATAACTGTCCATGGTCCTGAACCACCCAAGCCGGTCAGTAACCATCAGGTATGACTTCGTTCCTGTTCTGCCTTTTCTTTTTTACACAGTGTGCAGATAGGTGTCATCTTTGTGTGTAGCATCTAGCTATCCATCTATTTATATATGCTAATGTTAGTACTGCAGTGTTTTAGGCTCACATGGGTGGGGGTAACTTTCACTTATATACGGCTATACAAAAGGCGAAAGGGAAAATTCAGTGAAACGTTGCAAAAACAGCTTGAGTGTCTTGAACGCCGCCAGCTTGGAGTACTACAGTAACACAAACTACAGTCACTTTCATTTTTTCACCCTCTCCTCTCTCGTCTCGCGATAGAGCGGCGGACTGGTGAGACGGGCAGTCGAGGTTGCAGCAGGCAGAGGGAGACGGTGGAAGGTAAAGCAGGGCACCGAGGAGCTCGCCTCCAAGCGCGTCGACATCCAGAACAAGCGCTTCTACCTTGACGTGAAGCAGAATGTTAAAGGCCGCTTCCTAAAGATAGCCGAGGTCGGTGCTGGAGGAAACAAGAGCCGCCTCACTCTCTCCATGTCGGTTGCCGTGGAGTTCCGCGATTATCTCGGGGACTTTATCGAACATTACGCCCAGCTGGGCCCGACCAACCCGGACATTGTGCAAGACGAGCCCCGGCGGGCGCTCAAGAGCGAATTCCTGGTGCGGGAGAATCGGAAATATTACATGGATCTGAAAGAGAACCAGAGGGGGCGGTTCCTGAGGATCCGGCAGACCGTTAATCGGGGGCCCGGACTGGGAAGCGCGCAAGGCCAGACCATCGCTCTGCCGGCGCAGGGTCTCATCGAGTTCCGCGACGCATTAGCCAAACTCATAGACGACTACGGTGTGGACGAGGAGCCGGCGGAGCTCCCGGAGGGCACCTCGCTTACGGTCGACAACAAGCGCTTTTTCTTTGACGTGGGCTCCAATAAGTACGGGGTGTTCATGCGGGTCAGCGAGGTGAAACCCACGTACCGGAACTCCATTACGGTTCCCTGCAAAGTGTGGTCCAAATTCGGCAACACCTTCTGTAAATACGCGGAGGAGATGAGGAAGATTCAGGAGCGGAGTAGAGAGAAACGGGCCTCCGAACTGCTACCTGAGGGCCCGCACGGCGGAGATGACGGCGACGATGACTGACGCGGATTTCAGGAGAGCAGAAACGAAACAACCAAGACAAGACTGAACAATGAGAGAAAACGAGACTTTAACTGTAAAATAGAAAGAGAATCTCCAAGGGAATCACCCCCACCACACACACAACCTCCACAGACATGGCAGCACCTCTGCTGTCTCCTCGCTCATTTGACTGGATGTCACCCCACTTACCACCCATGTAACAGTAAGCCGCTGCTATCAAGGATTGAACTGTAAGATATGAACTGTTTCCTACTTGATTTAATGACAATGAACAGAGTGTTTATATCTCTATCAACGACAGATTTTGCACACATCAAAGCTATTTCGAAAACAAATGTTTAAATGTTTTCAGAGTGGGAAGCTAGAGATTTAATCAAAAATAAAAACCAGAGGTCTATTATATTAAATAACAGTCTTCATGTAAAACGAATATTTGACATCAGCACAAACAGAATATATTATGGACTTTATGAAACCAAAATCTGATACCAGATGTATAGTTTATTATAAAGGTATGCAGAATAAATATGAAAGCGCTCTAAAAGTGTATGGATTGCAGTACGCAGCACTACAGGCCTGTAAACACCTGTCAGCATGCGTGTAAGCTCATGTTTTGAAAAATAGTTTGGCAAAGTAGGCTATCGTCTTTAATTTGACCTAAAATCTAGTAGGCTAATGAAAAAGCATTTCTATTATGCCATTGTGGAAAGATTGAGACTCAAAAATAGCCTATTTTGTGCACCTCAAACCAATGGGATAAATCTATCTCTGAGCTACTATATTGAATATCAACCCTCTTGCACCATGTCCATATAAACTTAAATGAAAAAAGTGCTAACTTAGATGTACTAATTATGATTTTGTGAATCAGCTGTAAAAAAAATCCTTATTAAGATACCCACGTTTTCTGTGGGTTAAGTTTTTTTCTGTTATTTTGTTGTCTTTTTTCCTCTGGGGGGTGGGGGATGCAAAAAGAATTGGTCCACTTGAGGGGGCGCAAGGCGCGGAAAAAATAAACAAAAAAGAGGCGTCAGCGCACGGTGAGGCAACGCATCCTCTTTGACGTCATTACAACCCGTGCCTTATACACTCCACTCGTTTACGTGTTCTCACGTGGATGGTCTGTGACCTCGACCGCTGTATGTTGTCATTTACGAGTGCAGTTATGTAGGCAGAAATACGCTCACCAGGCCTGCGGGATTCACACCCCTGCAGTGTATGGAGCATGGGTGGCAACACCAAAAGTAAGCTGAAAGGCTGCTGGGAGCTTGCAGGGCCAACAGCGGTAGTGGGTAGAAACAGATCTGCAAGCTGGAGCGGGTCCTTCAGAAAGATGAGCTGCTGCTGTATGTACACTTTGGAGTGGGGGTGGGGGGTGGGGGGCTCAGTGTGTTATGGCACCCTGGAGCCCAGAATCCCTAGCAACACACATGGCTGGGTGGTTTCTGGGTAACAGAGTGACCTACCTGTCTGTGGCAGCACAGGGTGTCAGCACGGAGATTCATCTGGAGATGGAGATGCTTTGCACACCATATGCACCATGATGTTAAAGAAACAGCAGCAACAAAAAACAAATTGAGGAGCGGCTGGACGAGGCTATTTGTCAGAGCTGAGACGGATGCTGCTGGAGCCAGGCTGGCCAGCCAGCTGGTCCCATGCAGGCTGTCTGAGTGCAGTCTAGTGGATGTAGAGGCCGACAGTGCAGGGCCAAGGCAGTGTCTATCTCTTTATGGTGCTACAGCCCCTTGATTGCTCCTCGGGGGCCTCACCGCTCAGAATATGTCAGTTTTCCGTTATTGTTAGTCTGATGCTCTTCTTTGTCGTCACAGTTCTCTCCACATTATGTTGTCTAAACTGTGTCAGGTTTCTCCCTCCCAGGAACAAGGGAAGCCACTGACCTGTGTAGGACATTTCATCTTAGTGTGCAATATTGCATACATGCCAACCGTGGCATTGAATCATTGTATAGACTATTCAAAGATGGAAAAATGTGTAGGCTATGTGATCAATAGATATATGAACATGGGATGATGAGATTGATGCATCTGCATTAAACAAATGTGAGTCCTTCTCCTCAAGCAAATGCAAATCTCAATCAGATTGAAAACAGTCACACTAGTAGGGAGCTGCGTTTCCCTGTCATAGTCTGTAAACCAGTAGGCTGCCTGGTCCGGGTGTTTTATGGGCCCCTTCGGAGTCACCCTAGAGAAAACACTTTCTGTGCTCATTTCACCCCTAACTCACACAACACAGACAGTCAACACCCTCTTACTGTCTCCATGTCAGCCCCATGCCAGTGGCCTACGGTGAAGCTGAATAGTATCTCGGGATCTTGGGTCCAGAGGTGGCTAATGCCCACACACACGTAGTCTCCCCCTGCTGAGGCCTCTTGTTGCTATCTGAGTGGTGGGGAGGCCACTAAAGTATTTTGAATGGTTTCTAGGCCTCCTGTCATTAGAAGCCAGGAGTCTGTGTGTGTGGAGCTGGAGTGCAACCCCCTGCTCGCCTGGGACTGCCGATCGCAGGACAGGTTAACTATGATTAGACTTTGGTTTCACTTGAGCTAGGCAATAGTGATCAGCTGCAGCAGACCCAAAAGACAGAAGAGTTTGTTGTTGTTTTTACAGTGAGGATCACAGTCCCACTCTCTGACGTGGGCAGACTGATCTCAGGTCTGCTCCTCTTTCCCAGCTCAGGATTCAGTGCATAAGAGAGGCCGTACAGCAGAACTTGTTCGCATGCCTGTCTCAGACACGGTCCGTTCCTTCTTTTTGACCCCTAGGCTTACACTGACGTGCTAGTTATTGATCGGTATGCTTCAGGGGGTTAGTTCATCATTCAGCTTTATCTAAAGCCAGTCAACCTACAGCAGCTAACGTGACTGAGCCCAGTCGTAGGCCCTGTCAGAGTGGCGTGAAGGAGAATCACAGCCTGCATGGATTGCAGCTTTAGAGGCCTTGGCTGGCTAAAAGCTGCTAAAGTAGTTACAGTCTGGGCCTGCCAGACATGTGGAATAGCTAAGGCTAAACTGAAGCAGAACTCCCCCC